GCGCAACCAATTACGCAGCCGTCTGCCGCCCGCCACTTGGGATTAATTAAACGGTTTCCAACTGTGATTGAGGCAGCACATCAAATATTTTTAAATTAATTTTTAAAGAATAAATGAGGGTATTAACATCTTATGTGCTCGCTGAGGGATGGGGACAGCAGCAGAGTGTGCTGCTGAAAGAGGGGTGGGCCGGGGGTCCCAGAGCCCCGGGTCCAGCCCCACCTCAGCCCTGCGGGGGGCCCGGGAGCCTGTTTCCCCACCAGTGGGAGGGGCTGTGAGCTCTGCACAGCAGGGGTTAGACATCCCAGCCCGCTATTGCGCATTATTTTCATTCATTCGCTTTTTCATTCCTCACTCATTCCTTCATCCACTCACTCATTCATTCGTTCAACCTACATGCTTGGTGCCCCTCCCGGGAGCCAGGCTCCGGGCCTCAGCCAGTGAGCCCCAACCCCACAGGGACCAATGGCCAGGTGATGCGGAGCGAAGACAGCTGCAGACCATCTGCAGGGACCCCAGCCTGGAGCCACGCGCGCCCACGGCGAGGGGAGGGTGTCTGCAGGGGGAGCAGCACGGGCAATGCAGACACTGGAGCGAACACGCTCGCTCCCAGAGCTCAAGGAGCCCAGGTGACTGGCGGGAAGGCGGCACGGCCAGCTCCCGGCGGCCACGCGGACCCTGCGGGGAGGTGTGGGCGACCCTGTTCACGCAGTGACCCTGGTCTTCTATCAGGTTTTAGACCCGCAACCATTCCCCGCAGCCAAGCACCAAGCTGGCTCCAGCGACCCGGGTGTAAGGCCCGCAGGGGGTCCCGCTGTCCTCGGGTCCAGACCCCTCACCAGCTGGACGCCTGCCTACCTCCCACCTGGCCAGCACCTGGCCTCCTGCAGTCCCACCAACAAGCCCGGTCTCCGCCCGCCCAGGGGGTCTCCTCCCGCCCAGGGGGTCTCCGCCCGCCCAGGGCCTTTGCCTTGCTGCTCCCCCTCCCGACTTTGCCGGGACTTCTGTCGTGTGTCATGTTCAAGACAGCCTTCCTGCCCAGCTCTGCCCCCCTCCCCGCCCTGTCCGTCCTCATGCTGGCCCCTCCCACTACTGTCACCAGTTACCTGTGCGACGGTCTGCTCAGGGTCTCTCTGCCCGGGACTGCATCCTCCAGGAGGCAGGGACGCGGCCCTTTCCCCTGCTGGCCTGTGAGCGAACGAACGCCCCAGCACTGCAGCCCCAATATTCTGCGATTCTGGGGGGATGGCTGCCCACAGGGGTCCTCGGGCCAGGAGGGGAGGCCCAGCAGGGTTTCCGATGGGAAGAACTGGATCCGGTCGAACTAAGGCAGCCTGTCCCCTCTCCGGCACGGGCACTTATTAAAGTCCTGGCTAAGCCCAGGCCTCTGACACATGGTCTCAGGAAACCCGCACACCCTGCTGGGCCCATGTCTCAGGCGGGAGCAGGGGCCCAACTTGGCGACAGGTCCGGGCCGAGGGCCGTCTGTCCCCAGCTCCACGCTCTTTCTGGCTCGGCCAGCCCGGCCCTGAGCCCAAAGCGTTAAGTTCTGCGGACTCTGGAGCCCGCAGACACATTGGGTTTCAGGACCGCATCTGGGCGCAGCTCAAGCTGCTCTGGGTGACCCCACAGAGACCTGGGGGGAGTCCTCAGGCCGGAGACACCCCAGCTCGGAGACGAGAGCCCGTCACCTGCCTGCTCGCTGGCTCCCCTGGGCCTGGCCGAGGCCTGCAGCCCCTCCGCCCGGTGCTGACAGGGGACCAGGGAGGTCAGAGGAGGCGGGCTCAGAGGGGAGTCACTCAACCACCTGCCAGACACACTGTGCGCTCCCTTCAGCCAACGAGTCGGGCATTCACACAAAGGCGGGCGGGGCTGGAAGCTGAGGTTTCTTCCCCGGGAGGTGGGAGAGAGAGCTCATCCCCTCCCAGGTGGGAGGGCCTCCAGCCTCAGGGGCGACTGCCATGCCCTCACCTGACAGCACAAATCAGGGACACAGAGCCGGGCAACTGCCCTCTGTCTGAGACTCCAGGTGAACACAGCCCGGGCAGGGGGAGAAGTCAGCACCCACTAGTTACAAGTGAGGAGCCAGGCGAGCTCGCCAGCCCAGCCACCAGGGGGCAGAGACGAGACATGCGCCTAACCCCCAGCAGCTGAGCCTCCCGCCTCCTGGGCCCACACCAGCCAGCATCCCTGCTCACGGCAGAAGGGCCCCTCGACCAACCCCGCAGCTGGGGACCTGGACAAGTCCCCCCACCACGCTGAGCCTCAACCCGGACCCACTGAATCAGAACCTGCATTTAACGGCCCCAGGCACCTACCGTCACCTGCGCCTACCATCACCTCCGCCTACCAGCACCTGCGTCTACCATCATCCGCATCTACCGTCACCTGCACCTACCAGCACCTGCGTCTACCATCATCCGCATCTACCGGCACCTGAGCCTACCATCACCTGCGCCTACCGGCACCTGCATCTACCGGCACCTGCACCTACCATGGAACCAGGAGGCACCTGCGTCAACCATCATCCGCATCTACCGGCACCTGCGCCTA